CTGCCTGCCCCTGAAGGCCTCTCCAACTCACCTTGCACCATTTCCCCACACCTGACTGCTCTCCAACCACACTAACCTGTTTCAGTTCCTTGAAGTTGTTGTGTTCCCTACTGCCCCAGGGCCTTTACACATGCCATTCCTTCTGCCCAGAAAACTCCTCTCTCTGCTCCCCTCGCCTTTGCCCAGGTAACTACTTAAAATCTCAGCTCAGGCATCACTTCTTCAAAAACAACCCATCTATTTGTAATTCTCCCCTGGTCATGTGGCTGAGTAATGCCAGTGTCCTCCATGATATGCTTGATTGTGGGTTCTATGACAGCTGTGACGGTGTTCTGTTGTTGACACTGTCCCCAGCTCCTGGCGTAACGCCTGATGTGATGCAGAGACTCCATGAGTAGGCGGTTGAATGAATGAATGGTAAACAGGATATGGTCCATAGCCTTCCAGTCTAGTGCAGATCCAAAATAGGGTGTTATCTCCTGAAGAAGACAGAGGCCGCCACCTCCCGGCTCCTGTCTGGGTTCCAGCTGCCCTTGGGCCTGGCTGCGTCAGCTCCTGGTCCACCACCTGCAACAGGCAGTAATGTTCACGCACCCTCTTAGCCATTTGCTCACTTCAGATTCTCAACAACCCACTGAGGTCTGCATCCTCATCATTCTCGCGCTGCCGCTGAGAAAAAATGACACCCAGAGAGGTTGAGTTGCCCAAAGTCACATGATTACTGAGAGTCCGCTATTTGACCCTATATTCTTACCTCCTCTTGCACTTTATTTCCCCGAAAACTTAGCAGCAGTTAGCGCCAGGCAACAACAGAGTGCTTGCACCTGTCCTGGGAGCTTTGTCTTCAAAAGACTTGCATTTGCGTGAGCGCAGTGCGGGGTCCACCTGGCTTTGGACGGGCGGAGGAAGTCGGGGCGGGATGTCTCCGACCTGGACTGCGCGCGCCCCCTCGCGGTCACCGTGGAGACGAGCCGCCCCGCACTTCGCTGCCCCTCGGAAAAGACGCGGGAAGTGGCGGTGGGCGGGTGAATTCGGTGTACTGGCCGAGGCGCGTACCGCCTCCAGCACTTCGGGGTGCGCGCGCTGGGATTCTGGGGCGTGGGGTTGGGTCGTCCGCCCCAGGTCTTCCGCCCGCCCCCGCCCCGGGTCTCTGGGCAGTCCCACGGCGCTCAGGCTGTGGCGCCGGCGCCTGAGGCAGGAAGAATCTGGAGGAGTCAGCTGAGTCCGGTACCTCCCGTCCCAGGCAGGGTGACCGGGGTCGGGTCTGAACCTCAGGTCTGTGGCCGCGGGCAGACTTCCCCTCGCTGAGGCTTCCCCATCTGTGAAGTGGGGACGGTGACACCTGCCCCACTGGAGCCAAGACTGCCGGGGACCTCTAACTGACATCCGGCAGTCTTGTGCGCTCGGACGGAGCCAGGTCTCCGCAGACTGCTCCCCCCAAAGCCTGGGAAACCGCGCACCCTCATCCTGCTGGGGGACTGGGGTCGGGGTGGAGGGACATCCTTTACCTTTAAAGTCTTGATTAGTGCAGAAAACATATACTCGTTCATCACAATACTGAAAATAAATTAGAATTTCGGCCCACTGCTTCTAACACTGTTCATTAAAATAGTCTTTCGTTATTCTCAGCTAACAATGATTCATGACACAAATTGTTTCCACCATTACTTTATCCGTCCCTATGTTTCATGGGATAATTTGACCCCCAACAAAATCCAATCCTTGTGTTAAGGTTTTTTCTTATCTGGTTAGGTTCTAGGTAGATTGGGGAAATATATGTGCACTTCGTCAACACCTTATTTTAAGGTGATTTTATCTGTTTAATCCACAACTTTATTCCAAACGGGAAGGTGGTGACAGTTTCTTGTCCACTGATGTGTGCCAAACAGAATGCCAGGCACTGGGGCAGGGAGGTAAATCAGACAGGGGTGGTGAGGAGTGGCCGAAAATGTGACTGGACCGCAGACAATCCTGGCCTTGGAGAGTGAGACCAGGTGCTGTCTTTGGGGAGGGTTTCCTGGGCTCATCCTCTGGTCACCTACACAGCTGGGCTCTAGTGTGGCCTGGAGGAAACATGGTCCATGGAGGCCATGTGGGGGACTGGTTCCCTCATTTTATCTCAGCTTTCAGGACAGAGGCCCACCCCCTGCAACCCCACAGGTATTCTGAAGGGTCAGGATAAAAAGAGGGGATGGGAGGAAGAAAATCAATGAAAAAGACCAGAATGGGGAGGATGTTGCCAAATGCCAATTTATTACCTTAATTTCCTGGCCAAATTTGAGCCTTTGATGTATGTCGCTCCCCTCCCACTCCTACACATGCTTGTGGCCCTCCTGGAAGGCAAAATACCAGGGCCTGTCAGTCCCTGGTCCTGGGGGATGTCACTCTAACCATGTTTTGGACTGGACACATAGGACGTTTCCTTTTTGTGTTCTCTATACCTGCTTAGAAAAGTTTGAGCACAGTCTGAACACATCGGAGTGTTTGCAGAGGTTGTCAGTTACCAGATTCTGCAGTAAGCTGTGGATGGGAGGGAGTTCAATAGTGGGTGGTTGTGAACACAGAAAGGGAGCAGGAGCGTGGCTCTGCCTTCCCTGTCATGCAGTCACGTGGGGATGCGATTAGAACCCTGCGAGAAACACTCCCCTCTCCCCAAGGCCCTCCTTAAGTTTCTCCCTCTACCATAAGCTCCCAGTACTGTTCCTTTTCCAGAGTCCAATTCCTGAGTAAAAGAAGAGTGCAAATGGCCAAGAAATGGGAACATAGCCCACTTCATTAGTAACCAGAGAATCCAATTAAGATGGCAATGAGATAATAAGCAGTTTGACAATTTTAAATGTGCATAATCCATCAAACCTGATTCTAGGAATATATCCTAAGAAAACAGTCAAATAAGTGAGGCAAGATAAGTATGAGGATATTTTTGAATCGCTGATTATAATAGATGTCCCTCAGCATGGGACTGGTTAATAAATTATGGAGCATATCTAGGCTGGAACGTCATATAGATTAAGGAGCTGGTAGCCTCATGGTTTCCTTGGTGTTTCACCAACACCCTAATGGTCCTGGCCTCATCTCAGCCCCTGGCAGCCTTGACTCTCATGGCTAAACCCTGGACATTCCCTGCTGTGTGGGTTAAGAATGACCCAGAGAGGCCTACCAAGAGTGTGAAGGAGAGTGGGGAGATCACCGAACCAGCAGCTCCCCCAGAGGAGCCATGTGCTTCCTGTGGTCTATCCAGAGAAACAGCCTTCGGTGGATCCTGGGTCTTCTGGATGACCAAAGATGGTGTGGTACCTGCTGTCACTGGGTCTGGTTGAATTCCTGAATATCCAGGCAGCGAGATAAAGAAACAAAGCATTTCTGTCCAGCTGTGTACATGGACAGGAAATCCCAACACCTGAGTGTTGTGGTGGATGCTGTTGTTTGGGGAAACCAGCACGCATTCTCCCTTTGGCAAAAATGCCAGTTTTCCTTTAGGCAACCACTCTTTCATATTTCAGCCTTTGTGGTCTGGGTAAGTCTGGCTCTACTCCTTGGTGCCAGGGGTAGCTACTTTGGAGTCAATCCCCAGGACTTCTGCTGGCATTACCAAGAAGAGTCCTCTTCCTCCACGGGGGTAGCACTTAAAGCTGGGGCCACCTCTGCCTCTGTGGAGGGTTTAGGTGCAAAGGTGTGGGCCGTGTGTGTGTGGAGCCACTAGGGAAAGTGCAGGAATCCAATGTTAGCAGCAGCTGAGCTCAGGCTAGGCCAGACAAGGAAAGTGAGGGGATTCTGGGCCCTGGAAGGAGAGTCATGTAGAGGAGGCTGCCTTGTTGGATGGACAGAGGTGACAGTCTCCAAGGTTTACTGAAGCAAGCAAACCAGGATGAGGTCAAGGGGGCAGATCAGTGGAGCTGCAGCCAGGTGGTGAAGGCAGAGTGGAAAGAGATGATGTGGGAAAGGAGGAGGTCAATGTAGATTTTATTCTAAATGGCCTTTGCACAAAAGCCACCATGGAAGAGCTTTAATCAGAAATCAGTGGTCTGACCTTTTTGGAAGATTACTCTGGGTCCTGGGTGGAGAAGTGTATTTGTACATAGGAATAAAATCAGAAGCAGTAAAAGCCCTTGGGAAGCTGTTGAGGAGGAGGAAGTGGTGTCCTAGATGAGGGAGGGGCAGTGGAGAGGAACAAAGTGGTGGGATTTGGGTGCACAAATACAGGGGTGGGAGGAGCGTGGAGAAAAACTGTATAGCTTTGGCTACTCCATTTCTCAGAGCCTCAGCTTCCTCTTCCAAATGGAAATCGTACCCATTTCATGAGGGTGAGTTTGACTAGTGTAATGGTTGAGAGTATTGTTTTTAGTGAGATCTGGATTTGAATGTCAGGTCTGGCAGGTACTGTTGTGTGGCCTTATGTGAGTTAATGATAGATTGTAGCATTTATGGAGCACTTGCTATGTGTCAACCAACAGAGTTCTCCCCAGACTACGGTACTTACTCTTATTCTAGCTTACAGGTGAGGGAACAGTACTGTGGAGATAGCAAGGCGTTCGTCCGAGGTCTTAGTAGTAAACGTGGAGGATTTCTCTAACTGCCACGTTACCCTAACTTTTCTGCGCCTAGAACTAGGATAACAATAATACTGACACTTCCCTGTGTGGTTGGGAGAATACAAAAGGGGCCTGGCACATAGCAGGTGCTTATTAAATTCTTATTATTAAAATTAATGTTATTATATTCTTTGTGTTTTCCCGAGTTTTTGCATGGAGTAGGCATCATGTGGATAAATTTTTCGGATTAAAAAAAAAGATTCCTTAGATGAAGGGGAAAAGAACTGCAGCTGCCATAGTCTCACCGATTGCCTGGGGCCGTGACCCGGGGGGCGTGGCCCAGGGGGCAGGGCCAAGACTGCAAGGGCGGGGCCAGGACGCAAGAACGAATGGTGGGGGCGGGGTTAGGGGGAGGGGCGGGGCGCGGGCTAGCGACGCATGCTCGGTGCGCCCCGCTCCACTGCCGCCTCCGCCAGCGCCACCGCCCACTCGGGGCTGGCCAGCGGCGGGCGGCCGGGGCTCAGAGTAGGGCCCGGCTGGGCGAGTGCACGGCCATGGCCCCGTGGCTGCAGCTCTGCTCTGTCTTCTTCACGGTCAACGCCTGCCTCAATGGCTCGCAGCTGGCTGTGGCCGCGGGCGGCTCCGGCCGCACGCGGGTCGCCGACACCTGTGGCTGGAGGGTAAGGCGAGGACGGCGGGTTTCTCGCCGTCCCCAAACTCGCGGGGGCCCGAGGGACGCGCCGTGAGGCAGGGGCGCAGCGCGCACAGGTGCCTGCGGGTGGGCGAGTCCGCGCCGACCTGTTCGCTGTCCGCGGAGTCCGCAGCGGCACTGGGATCCCCGCAGCTCCTCCCGCCCATCCTCCCTCCTTCCCTCCCGGGGCGCGCGTCCGTCGGCCCCGGCCGGGATGAAAGGGGCTGCGCGACCCCCGGCTTTGTGTTGCTAATGAGGCGCGGCCGCCGGCCGGGGTCCGACTCTGAGGGCTGGCGAGAGGGGGCGGCTGGCGGCGGGACGGGGGAGGGCACCCCACCCTTTGTTCCCGGCCGGGGACCTCCTTCGCTCCAGGGCTGCGCGTCTCTGGGCTGGGATCCCCCGAGCTGTCCGGACGGGGATGTGGGGGGCCCTTGGAGCGGGAGTGGGAGTCTTATCCCAGACCTCCGAGTCCACAGCTCTGCCAAGGCTTGGGCGGCTAGAGACCGGGACCCGGAGCACTGGGGAGGGATGCGCCCCCCTCTCGTGGTCGCTTTGTTCCTTCTCGGCCCGGCAGTCACCCCACTCTCACCTCACCTCCGACTTCCTGAGAAACTGCTTCCCCGTCCAGCCTTTCGTCTCCTTAATGGTCTCACGGATGTATGATACCTGCCTCCCTATGCCCCTCGAGTTGGGGATATTTTTCTGCCAAAGGGCAGCGTGAGTTTGTCACCTCGGTCAGGTGCCCGAGACGAGACTGGAGAGTTGCCCAGACTTTCACCGTGTGCTTGGAGCCCTGTCCCTGCAACCGAGCGCTCCTTTGACACTGCGCAATGTGAGCGGGGACGTTAGGGACGTTGTCTCTCACTGCCCGGGCCCCCACTTGGTCTCCTGGGCTCAGGAGGACCCAGGACCAGTAGATTCCGTCTGCCCCGTGCCTCCCACCGAGGCCAGGGCGGGCGGCGTCTGGGCCTTCACGCATTAGAGAAAGCAGGCTTCGCACTTAGGCAGCAGGGACATGACCTTGGCTCTGCTTCTGGATAGCCATGAGCCTCAATTTCTTCCTTTAGAAAATGGGAGAAAATGGGGCTTTACTGCCGGGACGAGAGATGGATATGGGGTAGTTGGCTTAAGCCAACATTGACTCACCTCTCCTGGGAGGCTCTAAACAGCCTCAGCACAGTTCAGACCTAGGACATGACGCCTCCTTAGGGGCACAGGCTGGTGCCTCCAGCTCACTTACCCCACATTCAGAGAAACGGTGCAGAGAACCAGGTATGAGCCAGGCAGCTGGGATGTCTTCAGACCCAACAGCTACACTGTAGACCTTTATCACCCCTACCCCATCTCCCCCTCAATAGTGACTATAACCTTAGGCTCTGGCATTCCTTCCTATTTGAGTAAAGCATCATATTTTCTTACTCTTTTCCATTTTAGTAAAACATCACTACTCTTGTTATGTTTTTAAAATTTTTAATAGATACCAGGTTTCTTCAAGGCTATCTTACGTTGACTTACAGATCCTGCTAAAATTTTGGATCTAGACTGATGTAGGCTTTTGAATAACTAACAGCATCACAGGCATTTTATTCTGAGTTTTCCTATGAACACTCAGCATAGGTATATCAGTCCAGTTTGCTGGTTTTCTGCAGTTGCCAAGGAGGCTTCATGTGGCAGTGCACGAAACTTAAGAAGTTTTAATGCTGTGGGTATGGTAGTGCTCTGAAGCAGCCAAGCTGGTGATTTTGCTCTTCCTACGTGAGGGAATGTGTTCTCCTCCCCAAACCTGCACCCCCACAGAATTAATGGTGGCCCTGTCCCAGTCACCTGACACTTATGCTGACCTCCCCGCTACTACAACATCCAGTTGGGGGTGACTTTCTCAACAGCTTCTGCCTTGGCCCCACCCAGTCATTTCCCTGGGTATCTTCATCTCCTCCCTGGATGAGCATAGAGGCCTCTGGGCCATGTCTCAGATTCCAGGCTCTTTCCACTGTGATACATGGTTCATTCTCTCCTGGATTTGCTTCTTGGTGCATCTGATGGGCCCCACTTACCCACCTGCTTTGTGTACCCACCCTTTCCAGCCTCAGCCCCTCCTACCATGCTCCCTACCTCCTAATGCCCTTTATGCTTCCAAGGCATGCTTTTCTCTCCTCCTAGGATGCCTTTTCCTTCCCTGAGAATCCCCTGCTTAGACTAAGACTCAGCTCCAGTGATGCCTCCTCAGGGAAGCCCTCCCTGAATGCCATGCCCTTGCTTTGCCTTCTCATGCAGGTCCTTGTACTTTGGTTCTCACCAAACTGCATTGTCAGTATTTTTTCACTCTGTGTTTTCAGACTAGTTTCTTTGGACAGGCACTGAACCTCATCTTGGTGGCCTCAGAGTCCAGAGCCCTGTAAATCTTGGCTGAACCCAATTAGACTCGGCCGCCTTCTTGCTAAATCCTGTTTTAAGTGGTAGATTTTAAGAAGTGGGGGGAGAGATCAGAGCACCAAGCTCCAGTGTCTTCTCTGCAGCAGGCCTTTGCACATGTGGTTCCTGCCTGTGTTTCTTCTCTTTATACCTCCTTGGCTTCCCTTCTCAGCTTCAGCATCACTTCCTGCAGGAAGCCTTCCCTAACCACGCCTTCCTAGGTAACATCTCCCAGAAGTTGCTCTGTCAAGGGCCAGCCAGTTAGTACTAGAGTGAGTAGAGTATTTGATTCATATCTGGGTCCCCTATCACATAGTAGGTACACTCAGTCCATAGATGTTGGCTTCAGGTCTGAGGTTGCTTATAGTCTAGTTGGGGCTATAGGAACATGTAAGAATAAGGGTCAATTATATGTGATGCAAACCAGAGAGGGCTCCCTGTGGGTCTGGGTCACACTCAGAACCTAAGAAGGAGACAGCACGGTGCAGAAATGAGCCCCTAAGAAGGGGCAGGATTTGGGTACAGGAGAGGAGCTGAGCGAATGACCCCTTTGATCTCCAGGGAGCGTTTGTTCCAGGAACCCTTGCTCCTGCAGGAGTGTGTATTTTCCCAGGACTTGCAAGGTGACTGCAGCTAGCCATCTCTCTGCAGCTTTGCTAACAGACCCTTTGGGGCTGCTCTCAGAGGAGCCAGGAGCTGGCCTGGTTTAAGTGGTCAGGTTTCACAACCTCCCCATTATTAGTGGGGCAATTAAGAGGCTGATACCATCTTGAACACAGCTCAGTGTTTTAGAAATGAGTCGTGGGCACACTTCCTCAACTACTTAAAAAAAATTCTCTTAGGGCCCTTGCCAGCTAAAGTTGCTCTTTGAGTAATAAATACTGTTTTCCCAAAGAAGTAATAATTTGTAAAACCTCCAGAGGAGCCGACACCCTCATTTACACTGGCTCTTAACTCTTGCTTCTCTATAGTGGAATGATTGTGATGGGTAATTTTAATTATATCAGTCACTTGCACTGAGGTTCCCCCTCCCTTTGTCTTGCTGGTTGAGAAGCCTATTTATGGAATGAGGAGTTAGGAATCTACTCCCACAGGTTTTTATTTAGTGCCTTTTCCTGCAGTGGGGGAGGAGGGGACATTTCTTGCCGCCTTACCTAAATGGGGTACATCGTCTCTGTTCTATTATCCCTGAAACACAATTCCTATCCCCCCTAAAAAAGGCTGCCGCTTCAGGAATTTGGGAAGCCAGGATGCTGGCATCGTCTTTACAATGAAGTGCAAGTTTCCCATTTAAGGCAAATACTTCATCTCAAAAGGTAGGAAAGAATAGGGTGGTACTTGGAAAAAAAGAAGTTCCAGCTGGTTAAAATTTAGGTTCCTGATAAAAGTCCAATCCAAGAATTCTCCTTGGCTGTGGGCCCAGGCATGTTTATTTGATTCTGAATTGGATGCATTTTCATTCACTTGCAGCCTATGACTCCCAAGCCCGCATCTGGTCTGCCTGTCTTGTTGGCCATGTTGTCCATGTTACAGATGCTCTCGTGTCCTTTACAGAATTCTTGGTTAAAAATTACTTAGCCCTGGTTGATACGTTTTTCAGAGAGATGTTTGTATAAGAAGTGCAAGGCTTTCTTCCAGCCCGTCTTGCCTAGTTAATTGGGAACTCTCTGGCCCATATCCATTTTTCTTGAGCACCCCTCCCTTCTCTCCCTACCCCCATCCATCCAGCCAACCCCGGAGCCCCTGCAGCACCTGGGGCATTGTGCTCCTTATTGATTTGGGGGTACAGCTGTGTGACTGAGACCAGCAGCCACCCTTGCCGAATTCTGCCTGTTGCACCTTTTCCTTCCAAGCATGGTTTCTCAAAGTGACATCCAGGGATTTTCAGTTTCAGAATTGCCTTGGGAGCTTGTTAAAAATGCAGATTCATGGCCTGGCGCGGTGGCTCACGCCTGTAATCCTAGCACTCTGGGAGGCCGAGGCGGGCGGATTGTTTGAGCTCAGGAGTTCAAAACCAGCCTGAGCAAGAGTGAGACCCCATCTCTACTAAAAATAGAAAGAAATTAATCGGACAACTAAAAATATATACCAAAAATTAGCCGGGCATGGTGGCGCATGCCTGTAGTCCCAGCTACTCGGGAGGCTGAGGCAGGAGGATTGCTTGAGCCCAGGAGTTTGAGGTTGCTGTGAGCTAGGCTGACACCACGGCACTCTAGCCCGGGCAAAAAGAGTGAGACTCTGTCTCAAAAAAAAAAAAAAAAAAATGCAGATTCAAGGCTATTGGGACCAGAATAGGTCTGAGATGGTGCCCAGGAATTGGCATTTTAACAAGTTCTTCTGAGGATTCTGATGTTATATCAAGGATGAGACCTTTTGCTTTAGCAGATAAGGACTTCCACAATCAGAAGGGTGAGAGAAGACACATTCTAGATATTTAAAATCAGAGTTTGGCTTTAAATTTATTTCACTGGCCTTGGAGTCAATGTGGAGACTTTGTCAGAGCCCTGACCAATAAAAGAAGTCAGGCTGGCTGAGGGTGTGAGGGGGCATCACGAGCCAGTCGGGCAGGGCACTCTG